TAGGGTTTGGGGTTTAGGGTGGTGGGGATTTGTTCGGCTTTCATTGGGTTCTTAAGAGCAAAGAAGGAGTGTAAGTTTGAGGCTTGAGGATTTCCGACTCAAGCCTTAAACCCTAAGGGTTCAGGGCAAATGTACCGCGAAAGGTTCATGTAATGCTTCCGAGGGGAAGTTAGGGTACCTTTGAAAGGGCCCCAGAAGGGCGTCTCTGCACGGTTTGCAAGCATAATTCCTAAACCCCCTGAGTTGAAGACCCACCTGGACCCCAAACAACCTATGTTTTCGGCTCCTTACTATTATTTCCGTAGATATGTCCTTAAACAGGTAGGTTATTGGGGGCTAAGGTAAGCAAATATCAGCAGGACCACGACGGCGGTTACCTCTCCTGCGTCGACCACATGGCTCGCGGCGATGTCAAGGTGCGGCCGAATGCCGGCTTTCAAGCTTCGAGTCAATGCGCAGCATGATGCAAACCACGGTCTCCGATACCTATAGTCTCCATTATAGTTCCTTTTTTGGTTTAGCCACTTCTACACTAAGGATTTTATAAGGTATCCCCAAAAAGGTTTCGCCTACGGAGTTCAGCAAGTGGATGCCTAGGGCTTAGTCGGGAGTTTCAGGCCAAGTCTTCAAGCTTGGAAGCATCAAGTTTGTGCGACACTCGAGCTAGCCCACCGCAATTATAATATAGAAGCCTAAATAATTGCCAAGAGTATTTTTTGGGGTTCCTTACTATAATATCTATAGTATAACACACACAGAGAGCGGAAGTGCACAGGGAGTCCTGCAGGCGGCATATTCCATGGGTGTTGAAGGACATGATCGCTGGTCGGAGGACTGAAGATCCGGTGTTCGTCGCCGTAACGAGCCTGCAGCTCACAGACCCTGACTTCCAAGCACCCACTATATAGGGCCCTAGAGGCTCTAGTACCCTATATAGTAGGTACCTGGAGGGTTGGGGAGAGGTATTGACTCACACCCTGCCCTACACCCAGAACCCAGAACCGTGAAATGATCCGAACGGACGCCCTAAACCCTAAACCCTAAACCCTAAACCTGAGAAGGACGTCCACGAGAGCTTTGGAGTGCCGGTCTTCCAGTACGACTGCACAGTGGAGAAAGCTGCACAGGACTGTGACAACTGCAAGTTCTTCCAAGCTTGCTTGAAGCTGGACAGCCTTCGTACATAATGTAGGGGCCTAAATAATTACCATAGTTGTTTGGTGGGGGTTCCTCTTTTCATTCTAGTATAATGGGCCCCCAAACCTTATTCTAATTATTAAGGCCCCTACAATATTTCTTTTTTTGGCAGGGCTTAAAGGATTTGGGGCTTGAGGGGTTTGGATTCATCCTTGGCAGCTTAGGAAGGGGAACAATGGCAAGGGTGGCTTTGCTGGAAAAACGAGCTGGACCTTGAAGGAGGCTGTGATCAAGTCTGGCCAGAAATTAGAGGAGCTACCTCCGCGATCTCTTCTGATGAAGATGGACATCGAAGGGTCCGAATGGCCGACTCTTAGAACTTCAAGCACTCTGACCTTGACCAAGTTTCGACAGATCCTCATGGAGTTTCATGACCTCGGAGACGAAACTCGCCACAAAGAGTTTCTGAACACCATGCGAAAGCTGCAGGCCTCAGGCTTCAAAGTGGTCCATCTTCACGGCAACGACTTCAGCCCGCCTTACACCAAGAACGGCTTCTCCATCCCATCAGCCCTTGAGGTGACCATGGGCTTGGGAATCCTTGCCTTCCTTGGCCCCCCTGAATCCGAAACTCCCCTAGCTGGAAGCCCTAATTCCGGAATATCTCAAGTCCCAAACCGGCATAAACCCTACAGTAGACCTCAAAGGGAGAAAAACACTTGAAAGCAATTGACCAAGAAGCCCTAAACCCTAAACCCTAAACCCTAAACCCCTAAACCCTAAAAGCCCTAAACCCCTGAAAGCAATAGCCACAGAAACCCATGGGCTGCGACCCGAAGGTGTCTTTGGATGCGATGGTAGACACCATGGATTCTTGGTGTTCTTCCGATTGGCTCTTAGGACTTTACCTCTTTTGGGTTTCTATATGAACCATCATACGGAGACTAGAAGTTTAACTTTTCGGAGGGGTTCAGACCTAAACCCTAAACCACCAAGCCTAAACCCTAAACCCTAAAGCCTAAAGCCTGAAACCCGAAAGCCTATAGTCAGCCAAGGATTCATGCCTCGTCGACGAGACTCGAGATCGTCTTGACCAGACCAACAGGAGCTTTGGTAGCTTAGGGCTTAGGGATTGATTGGGTTTAGGGCTTAGGGGTTGTGGTTTTGGGGATTTCAGGGTTTAGCGGGCGTCGCAGTGACAAGTACGTTTTAGACAATGACGGACTCCGAGAAAACCACGCACGGAAAAATCCTTGCCGAAGGACCTCTAAAAAAGGGATCCTTCATTCTGCTGAAACCCACATGTAGCCCCCGGACAAAACCTTGTAAAACCCCTTATTGAACCCCTCCGGCAAGCACCCCGATATGAGCCCATACTTAAACTGTATGGCCCCTTAAAACACCCAAATATAATAGCTCAACCCTAAACCCTAAACCTATACCTTGATTCGGGTAGTTTTCTAAATTAGGGGCCCGAATTTAGAGAACTACCATACAGCCGAGGAAGAAAGTCCGCGACGGCCATGATCTTCCTTTGGCACACCTCCCGCAGTAGGAACCTGGCGCTTTCAAGCTCTTGATGAGGATCAGTCTTATGTTAATTGTTATTATTATTGGAATTATTATTATTATTATTATTATTATTATTTATTATTATGTTGTATTAGTCTTAGTCTTATCTTTATTGTTATTCTGCTTTTTCTTCTTTATACTATAATTTTTGTGCACTAGAACTCTTGTTATTATGAGTTCCTATGCTCTGTGTTATTGTTGTTATCGCCATTACCATGTTATCATCATAACTGTAGGGGCTTGTAAGGTTTTGGAGTGTTTACAGGCTTATGGGTGTTCTGAAGGGCGCACGGTTTAGGACGTCAAAGAGCCAGCAAAGGTGGATAAGGTAGAGATGCTCAACCTATTTTCATACAGCAGCCACGTAAGACAGGCCGCTGCTTGGGTTCTATGCTTATACATTCGTGCAGGCATGTGTGTATGTATGCATATGGCTGTTACCTATCTGCATCTGCATGAACGTATATGCCATGCATGTATTAGTTTGTACGTGTATGAGTATATATCTTATGAGCCCATGGGTGAAGAGCTTCGACTGTGCAGGCCGTTAGATATTCGCCTTCCCAGCAAAGAAGTCCTCGTGGGCGAACCACTGGTCCTAAGGCTAAGGTTCCGCGCTGGCATTGTGCAGCCCAGGTTTGAATTCAGGGTGGTTAAGCATTGCGTGCTTGGTCGTAGTTGTCTCTTTTTTACGGCTCATGTATTTTAGGGTTCTGGGCGTTTGAGCCTTGGCGGGGTTTTCAAGGACGGCGAGCAGAAAATATTGGTTGTTGTCCTAAACCCTAAACCCTAAACCCTAAACCATAAACCCTAAAGTTGGTTGTTGTCATTGCAGGGTGGGACCCTTGAGGGCCTCTGCCGTCTGGCCAGCTGCAAACAAGCGTTTGTTGGCCTGAGGCAAGAAAGTGTGCGCCGAATGGCACACCACAGTTTTAACTTAACCCTAGATTCCTAGATGTGAGTGTAGAGTTGCACTTTTCAACCCACAAAGAGTTTCTCGTTCACCCAGGGCTATCTTTGAGTTATCGGGCTGGGGCACGGCCTGCTGCGCTGCGAATAAGGTAATATAGGGCCTTAATAATTACCCATACTATTGTGGGGTTCCTCATTACACGTTTAGTACAATGGGCCCCAAAACCCTATTCTAATTATGAAGGCTTCTACATGATCCGTCGATTTGCTGTTTTTACCAGGCTTTGGGATTGTGGGGTCTGCACTACACTTTCCGGTGGAAAACACCCGGAAATGGCGCAGCCTGCTGGAATGCAAACCCCCTGTCGCACCTGACGTGCAGAAAATGGAAGAGCTGGGAGGGGGTTTGTTCCATATTTGTGTGCAAATTCTCCTAAAGAATGGCTATCAGAGAAGGGCTGCAGGGAAACAGTGAGGGTTTTGGGACCATGCACAACCCCTACATGGTCTACAGTCCACAAGCTACCCACGCGCTGCGAGCAGGGAGGGTGCCTACCCAAGCGCGAAACCTGGATCGAGATATTATATCTGTCTAGCACCGTGGACCATGGAACATAGGGGGCTAGGTAGGCCTTTGAGATATGTTTGTTTCTCTTATTGGGTTTAAGATGATCTTGCTTACGAATAGTTTTCAGAGATTCGGTTGAAGCTTGACCCCGAACCCTGCACCCTAAAATTCCTCAGTTCCATAGCTAAACCCTACGGCCCATAAACCCTATAACTCCTGTACCCATACTCAAGTCTAAACCGAATCCTACGGTTGATCATATAAATCCTGCATTACCCATAATAAGAAATATACCATATAATTCCCATAGCGTATACAGGCTCCTGAAGGTAATGCAGGATTTATATCATCAACAGTAGTGATAATACCCCTAAACCCTTAAACCCTAAACCCCAAACTAAACCCTACGAACCTAAACCCTTAAACCCTAAACCCCTAAACCCTTAAGCCCATCATCAACCGAAGCTTCGCCGTTCAGTCTCTGGGTTCGAGGCCCCGTGGCTGCCGCTGCGATGGGCGTCCACCGTCGCAGATGTTGCCGAAGTCAGTTTGGTGCCTGGGCCTCCTGATTCTTGAGTAGGGGCTCTAGGGTTTAGGATTCAGGGTTTAGGGGATTAGGGCTTAAGGTTTCCTAAACCCGGAATAGGGCTTGCATATAGTCTCCACTGTAGCTCCTTTTTGGGGGATACCTTATAATATGCTCAGTATATAGTTGGTTAAACCAAAAAAAGGAACTACAATGGAGACAGACAGACTAGAGCAGGAGGTGGCCTGATGGCTCTCAGCAACGTCTGATGGGTTCATGAAACCACTTTAAAGGTCCATGTGCCCAACTAGTAGATACTTTGGCCTTATACTCCCTATTTGGGTACTTTGGGGCCAAAGTATGTACTATTTAGGTACATGGACCCTTAGGGCCAATTCTAAGTGGCTATAAATTCCCAACATCGAGCTCTCGTGACATCGCAACTACGGACGTCCTGGGGATATCTTGGTTCCAAAGAGGACAAGGAGGCTTTGAACACAACAGCAAGTCCACGTTCGAGGGGAGCGCCGGAAGCTTCGACCTATCAGGGATGTGTAAGGGTTATGATCGTTTAGTGCCAGGTACGCTTTATGGGTTTGTTTTCATGGGCTTTGGCGAGGGTGCCAAAGGGGCTTGAACAACTAGGATAGGACTTGGGGTTAGGGTGGCGACCCATTTAATGGCTTCAAAACCCCTGTGAGCAAGCAGGAGTTTCTGAAAAACAACGCTTGCGAACGAAACCCGATCGGACCCTCACCTGGAGCTGGCGAGATCGGCAGGTGCCTACGCGAAGTCGATTTGGCAAGAGGCCGGAGTTGTCAATGGATGTGCGAGATTTAAGATAACGTAGAAGCCAGATAATTACCCTAACCCCCCAAGTACGTACTATATAGGGCCCTAGGGGCTCTAGCACCCTATGTAGTAGGTACGTGGGGGGGGTTAGGGTAACAAACCGTACGGTTCGGGTTCTGGTACCACTGCGCCCCTGCATTTTGGGATCTCTGCTTGCTTGCCATGGGGACACAAACTTTTACCCTGGATCCCTGAGCAGAAAGTTAAGGGCATCAGGGCTGCGAGGGGGTCGGAATACAATTAGTAAGAGCACCCTCCGCTATGGTACCCAACAGTGTACTTGAATGATGGTATAGCAGCACACCCCACATCCCCATTCTCCCTGTTAAGACCCCCGAAATCGATCCTTCTAGCATCCTGTTATGAAACACGTTGATTCTTATGGAACCCTTTGAGGGAACCCTATTCTCATGTTGCAGGCCTCTATGTTTTCTATTATGGAAGATGAGCATCGATATGCCAAGTATGCCTCCATGCGAAACCATGTTAGGGATAAGGGTTTCGGATTAGGGTTTAGGGTTTAGGGTTCCGGATGCTGGTGATTTCCTGGACAGCACAGAACTTAACTCACCAAGTCGTAGAGATCTAAATTCGTGCACCGCTCTTCCATGAGAACCCGAAGAAAGCTAAACCGCAGACCCAGAAGACCGACTCTAAACCGTAAATTCGAAGCAAGCCCTCTGGCAATTTCTGAACTTCTCACGCCCGGACAGGAAAGGTTTGCTCAAAGTGGATGCAGTGGATGAGGAGCTCTGCCAAGGGGACGGGGACAGTTTAAGCCTCTGCTCACTGAGAAAGTTGGGTTAGTGACTTGGCTTGTGGGCTCTATGTGAGATACTAGGTCGACCTATAAACCCTAAACCCTACACTACCCTAAACTCTAAACCTACCCTGTCATACGGTTTCGAGAGTCGTTTATGTGGTTTGGAGCTTCAGGAAGATCACGGAGGGCCTTCCTGACATCTGCCCGTCCACCCAGAAGCGATGGTTGCGGCATACCCAAAGAACCCATGCACAGGTTGAGCCCTTTTTGTAAGCCCTAAGCCGAACAGTTGCTCTAACCCCAGGTTAAACTCCACGCCGACCTTAAAAAGAGGCCTGAGTCCTAAACCCAGAGCCTAAGCTCTGATACCGTGGTTCCCCTAGATCTTAACCCCTGATTCCATTCATGCTCGTCCAGGGCCGTTGCCTCAATTTCGATCTTGTTGCCGTCTGGTCTCCACGTCCGTCCTGGTTGCAAAAACAGTCAGGGTGATCATGTCAACATCAGCAAGCATCGCAACATGCGGCGCTACGAGCATGAAGTCCTACTCTGCACTCATCTCATGGATACAAACTTCAACCCCCCTACACCCTAAACCCTAAAGCCCTATACCCTGAAGCCCTATACACCCTAAACCTTAAACCCTAAAGCCCTAAAGACCTAAACCTTAAACCCTAAACGCCTAAACCCTAAGCATCCCTAAACCCTAAGCCCTCAGCAGGACTCTGCGGAAGCTGAGCAGCTGCTACAAGGCTGTCCATAAAAAACCCTAAACCCGAAACCCTAAACCCTAAACCCTAAACCCTAAACCCGAAACCCGAAACCCGAAACCCGAAGCCCAAACCCGAAAGCCGAAACCATAACGCCGAAACCCTAGGGCCGAATCCCTATACCTATGGGCTCTCGGGATGATGCAGATAAGAGCCCGGCCAGGGCTCGCTACGTGGGTTTCATTTTTTGGGGCAGAATACATTGAAGTTGTTTGTTTTTTGGGTTTGTTTTTGGGGTTTTGGGGTTTAGGGGTTCAGGTTTTTGGCGTTTAGGGTTTTGGGGTTTTGGGGTTCCACTTTCGGTCTAAGAGGCTGAACTTTGAGACAAAGCTCGAGGCTCCGGCCTCTGCGGGCTAGACATGACCTTCAGGTGGTGCGGGCGGGAGTTCCGTTCGGCGACGGAACCCATCGGTCGGAGCTGGTGCAAGGCTTGCACGTATCCTCATCTAGCTATTATGAAATTATCACACGGCAAACCTTTCAGGCTAGCCTTCACAGGGATTGCTGGCAAGTGCGGTTCTGGCAGGCAATACTGTTGCAGCATCCTGTGTAGCGGCAAGACGGAATGACAATTACGGCAGCTGCAGCCACA